GGTTTGCACTATTTTAATGTCAATTATCTCACCAAACAATACTACGGATAAACATAATAAATAATGATGTACCTATTATGGCATATATTCCCAATATTTTTCCCTTCCTTTCAATAAAATTTCTTAGGTTTGCCCTCGGATTTGTCTAGTAATGATAGCAGCAATCTGAGAATCTGAGTACAGTTTTGAATGTTTGAGACACATTTGGAAAATTCATAATTAAATTAAAATTAGTAAGTTTTAAGAAACTTTTTTTCCAAACTAGGTAAATCATCTAGCTCATTTGCTAGCTCAGAATTAGAATTATTAGAGTTAAGAAACTCGCATTTTCATTGGAAGACATTGTCATATATATTTTGAACCAATAATCAACGAGAATATTCGTATAATTTAACAAAATTACTGTAAATCACTATAAATAATGAACGAAATATGAAAACAAAAACAGACCATACGAATTGTTGGTTAGGTTCAAAATTTCTTCTCTTCTTAAATAAATTTTAAGGGGCCTTAACATTATTAGGCATTTGCACAAATTATTCTGGGTCGTATTCCATAAAATTTGCAGGCTATTGAGGAAACAGATATACCGGGTGCGTCTCAAAAGTGGCTCACCCCTATAACTTTTTATTTTTTCAGATAAAACAAGGAGATTTGGTATGGTAGTATATGACATAAATTAGGATTGATTGACATGTTCAATTGTTTTCGGTCACTTCCGGTTTCACCGGAAATCACTACAACTTTTGATTTTTAAATGACACCCTCGGTATTTTTTTACTTTATTCGATTGAAAATGACACTCTGAATCGAATGACTTATCATATGTCAACTTTTGACATATTCTCTCAAAAATAAATTGTGTTTTAAATTTCAATCTAGAGTGTCATCGCTGTTAGTAAGAAGGTTCGCTTCACATATGCGCACATAGTGCACACACTGTTTTTTTTTCTTTGATATTATTTGGCGATCTGGTTAACCTTGTAAATTCAACGCAATCTTTTCTCGAAATAAAGTAATTTTATCTTATCTAAAACAAATAATATAGATTTACCTGCCAAATACGTTGAATTTTGAAGTGATAAACAATAACATTACAGTAACCACACTAATGATTACACTACAAGTACAAGTTAATCAATTGTCTAATTTCAATTGAGAATTGCATTCATCCTTATTCAGGACATTGCACAGTACATGGCAATTGCCACTCAGAAATAATGTTTTTTTTTTCTTTTCAACTCTGTTTACATATTTCAAATAGTTGTAAGTTCGGTTAGAAAGCCTAGATTGAGTGTTTATGGTAGTATGGTAGGTACATAAGTAAAACAATTTTTATAGATCAAGACTTTCTCAATTAAATAAATGGTATCAATATTTAAACAATGTTTATTTAAAATTAAATCATGCAAAAAATACCAATGATGCATCATATATCACAAAGTATCAAAAGCATCCTACACTCTTCTTCGAGGTGAAATTCATTACGTAGATAGTTCAGAATTTTATGTAAATGAAATAAATTTTAATGTAACTAATTTTTTATTGGTATTATTTATATGATAATATAGTATAAACCTCACGCTCATCAATGTTTAACATAATTTGTTCTGTTAACTGTGAAATATCTAATACATTGACCCATTGTTGACACGTTGACAAGCAAACTATAAAATCCTTGGGTACAACTTTTAATTGTCCTTTCTTGCGATTAAACTGAAAGCTTACTGAATGCAAGAACAAAGTGTCGAAACGGAAGGCATTAAGCGATATTAGCGCAAACCGTTTCACGATTTTAAAATGTCAACTGCGGAGCCGCGGTTTCGCAAAATCGGACGCCTAGCACCGTTCTCTGCACGAATTGCGGATTTTCCGCGCAAAAAACCTTAAGGCTCTCGCCCGTTTTTGAATAGAAAGTATAAATAATAGTCTAATCGGGTTTAAGCGTTCGTGATTAGCTCACGGTTGTAAAAATACCTTTTACTCGGGGGGCTGAAGTCTACAAAACAGTATTTTTAAATAATTGCGAGGATAATTGGTAAAAAACAATTGGTTAAAATCGCAGAGAAACTGTGAGATGACAAACAAGTTCGTAAATCAGCATTTCGTTATCTATCTCTATTGTAATGCTGGTCCCACACGACGTGTCAAACACCTTCCAACGTCGCGTCGGACACATGAACATTTGCCCCATATCGTGTAGAATACACACTTGTCAATTTCAATGTCGAAACCGGTGCCAAATAATGTTGGCTACGTTGGAACCAACGTTGGACGCATCGTGTAGGTCCGGCTTAATCTAACAGCCCTTTCCTTGTATATCGAAAGAAAACAAATAATAGAGATAAACATGAGAAATAGGCTCAGAAAAAAAAGGTTCTAAACATCACGTTCTAACCGAAATTGATCAGTAAACACAGTCTATTGAGATTCTTTTTCTCAAGAAAATATTTTTAAAAACTTATTGTATTATTTTACTTTGCCAATTATGTATTATACCTAGGTATAAATGAAAACCTACTTAATTAATAGGAAATAGAAGGAACCCTACTCTTAATTATTACTAACAACAAAACAGGTATTGGCTTGGAATCGGCCTTAATATAATTTAAAAACTTTGTATTACAAATATCTACCTTTCATTATCTTTTCAAAGTGTTATCAAAATCAAATTCCCTATACACTGATGACAGGAGAGTTACCTAATGAAAACAGAAATGTATTTTTTTTCTGGTTAACTAAGTTAGTAGGGTATTATTAAGTATTAGGGTATTATTAAGTATTATTAGGGTATTATTAAGTATTAAGTTCCTATTGGAATAACACGTAGAAATGAAAGTGTTGAATATACTGAAAAATATGTAGTGGCGAACTATTAACCTACTGGCTGTTTACATTGAAAAAACTTGGTTTTACTTGGTTTTTAGTAACTAAACAGGTAAGGTATTTTGATTTTTAAATTATTGTTTTTAGTGACGACCCCGAGACTCGTATGGGTAAAGTAAGTAGGTACCAATCTCGATACCAATACAATACCTATTATTAATAGTTTTTTACATAAATTATCAAATATAAATAAACCCTAAAGGGGCACAATAACATTGATGTGGTCATATATTTGGTAGTTAAAAAATAGCTTTACCTGCCAAGCGGAGTCTTGTCTACATCGTATACTTCCAAAATATTCTCTTTCTGGATAACTGACCCTAAAACACCTTCCTCCAATTGGAGAAGTCCATCACGCGACGATTTGTAATCCAACATTGTCACTTTCTATTTATTTATAATATGCACTGAATACACGTCAACTGTCACAATAAAAAAGCTATCAAACAGTCCCTTGCCGAAATTTCCAATGGTAACTGTCTACCTGTGGTGGACCAACGTGATTCAAACAGCTGCCTTCCCTTGTGAAGGTTAGGTTTAACGTCTTTTTCAAATATGGTTTTCTTGGAGAAATGGTCAAAGCATATCGTCTGAAATTGAAATAGCACATATAACAGCTCACACATCTAACGAACAATATTCCGCAATTTGTGAAAAACGCACACGAATTTAAATCTCAAGTAAAACATGAAACACAATCAAGCCGTACAACCCGAAGCGCCTGCTTGCTATGCCCCTGCCAAAACGCGACTGCGGGTTGCGGACTGACAGAAAACGGAACGAACCATGAACGAACAACGAACAAGAAACAAATTCAACGATCTTGTTCCTCGTCCTCGATGGCCAATAAAATAGAATCAAAACCGCGATACTGCTGTCAGCTATTGGAAAAATCTTAAACAGAATATTCTATACCGCCAGAGTACTATTTCAAATATAAGTTATGTTTACGCTATTCACTGATAGAGGTCGCCAATAACTATTTTAACCAGAAATAGTTTTCTATGATACTCAGGCAGTGTTGCCGCAGTGGTACATTTGTACCAAATTTGATACCTTTAATTCTATTTGGTGCAGTGGTACTACATTTTCAAATCCAGGATGTTTTGGTACAATAATTATTTCCCACGCGCACCGAAAATGAATAGATATTTAATAATTATTGTCGTTGAAATTGCATTAAACGCGCTTACCGATACCATTCGGAGACAATCCGCATTAATTAACGACGTATAAACGTTGTAATATCTATAGGGTTGCCTATATTAAATAACACGAAAAAAAACTTGAAGATTCCTTTATTGACGACGTGTACACGTTGTAAGTCAAATACGTTTAAATAAAATTTATTTTAAACGTATTTGTTGTAAGTCTATAGGGTTGCCTATATTAAATAACCCGAAAAAAACTTGGAAATTTCTTGTTTCTAACATGCTTCTATATTTGCGTTTTTTTTTAAATAAAATTTAAGTTTTCCAAGTATCGTGTGTAGTATTAGAATTGCTTAGATTTCTTCAACCTATACTTAAAATTGGGTTTTCTGAATTTCTATTTCATGTTTTTAGTCTCGATTTGTGTCTTTCTCCACGAAGTTTTTTATGTAGAAATTTATGAAGAAATTCACAACGGCCAAACCGCTTAAAGTCATTTGCAGATGCATTTTGTTGTGCTTTAAAAAATTGTACCAAAGTGGTACATTTATAGTTTAGAATGTGGTACGCGATAAAAGTAGGGCGCGGCAACACTGTACTCAGGCACTGCCGTTCTTTCACTGACTCAGGAATACCAGCCTAAATTTTTTATCTTAAAAATTCATTCGCCAAAAAAGAAAAAATTTGAAAGGTTAGTAATTTTCAGGAAAAAAATTATAGGCTAGTTTTAAAATGATGTTCAAGTTCAAGTTCAAATATGAATTTTGTTTTTCAAATTCCAATCCAATTTTGTTTTACAAATTTGCCAAAGTAAAAGAACTAAAGATAACTACAATCCTTGCTTATATCATGGTAGATTTATATTTATTGTAGATACAAGGCTATAATATAACAAATTAACTCAGTAAATGTAAATTATACACTTGTAAACCTTCAACAATTATTTTTGTCAAACCAACAAAATAAAAATAAATATATATATTTGTATTTACAGTGTCACTACTACACAACTAAATAAATCGCCAAATTTATTTATACAAGAGGTATACCATACAAGATACTAAAATTACGTTGTTTTCTAATTGTTTTTAACGCTCACAATATAACCAAAAACAACAGCGAATATTGTAATAGCTTGAGCGGCGACTCTTGTTCTCATCATATATTGTGACATTTTCCTTTGACCAGTTCTAAAAGTCCATATACCGTAAATTAAAGCAGCACTTGTAGCAGTAGTTCCTAAAACAAATTTTAATATTTTGTATTAACGAATATAAAATTCCTATAAACTATCTTACCAATAGGCACAAGCGGATTTTCAGAACATTTTCTAATTAGTTTCTGTAAATTAGTCTCTTCGGTGTGTCTAGCCGCTTCTAATTCTTTATGAAGGTTTAACCAGTCGAATTTCGACATTTCTTCCTCCGTGAGTGAAGTAGAAGTAATTTTTTCAAGCATTTTAAATTAAATTTTAAATTAAAGAAGTATTTTATAAGCTGATTGATCAAAATATAACCTTAAAATACCAGAGTAAAATACTTTTAAAATTTTAAAAACCAATAAAATACGTCAAAACGTCACATTTGTAAATGCACTGTAGTGTAAATGTCAGTATCACAGTCAGTATTAAAGATGGGCATAAAGTATCGATTCTAGCTAGTTCGATCTTACTCAAATTTAGTAAGGAAAATCTGTTTTACTGTCTTTGGAAATTTACTGTCTTTGGAAATTTGGATCATTTGGATGGATGAAAACGTTAAGTTCAAAGTTTATAAAACTAAAACGTCATATTTTACAGAGAGATATGTTAAGAATAGTCAAGATTTAAGATCTATGAAAACAGAGCTCTCTGTAACAAAAAAGAAGTTGGTAGCACAGGTTGGTAGTGTCTGTGGTACTATCCTTGTACTATCCAAAACTAGATGGCAGCACATATCTCGCTCCTTATTATTCTGTTTCATATACCACCCGCAATACGTCTAGCACTTTTTTGTTTAAAATTTTTGTATTATAATATTATTCTTTGCAAAAATTAGTTCATATTAGTTCTTTTCGGCCTTTTTTAGTTTTGAAACTTTTAAATTTGAAATTTGAAGATAATTTGAAGTAGTGAAAAACAATTTAAACAATGGTTTTTAGGTTAGATATGAAGTGTTAGGACCTTTAAATAAATTTCAGTCATTTGTATTTTCTTAAGGCCCATAGCCTATATCCAGCTAGGTTTTAAGTAGTACGTATTATATACTTATTATTTAACAAAATGAGTTTAGTTACATTACAATTTGGCCAATGTGGCAATCAAATAGGACACAGTTTGTATACAATTCTTCAAGAAGACATTCTGAAGAAAAATTCTGATAAAGAGGTATTTTACTGGGAAGCTGTAAACAAATGGTTTAATATAAATGAAAGGGGTATATGGGAACCGAGATCAATTTTAATAGATACTGAAACAAAAGTTTTGGATAACTTTAAACCAAGTAACTTAAAATTTACTAGCGTTGTGGCAAAATCTATTGGAGGTTCAGCTAATAATTGGGCTTTTGGATATCAAGAAAATAGTAAATTAGTTGTTAGTGAAGTGTTAAATAGTGTTCGTAAAGAAATAGAAAAATGTGACTTTCTTACTTCTTTCTTAAATCTGTATAGTTTATCAGGTGGAACAGGTTCAGGTGTTGGCAGCTACATTATTGAGAAACTTCGTAATGAGTATCCCAAAAAAATTATAATCAATTGTGCCGTCTTACCTTATGTAAAGGGTGAAGTTGCAACTCAGGCTTATAATAGTATTTTGAATCTGGCTCATTTATATCCTATTAGTGATAGTACAATTTTGTTTGAGAATGAAAAAATGTTGCATATTTGCAAGCATAATTTAGGTTTTACAGAAGTTTCTTTCTCGGACATTAATTCTGTAATATCGCAACAGCTGGGTTCAATATTTCAGCCTAACAATAAAAATCAAATCACGACAATGATAAACAATCTTACAGCTCATCCCTCTTTCAAATATCTGCAAATAAAGTCTGAACCAAATATTAAGAATGGGAGTTACACTTTTGAAAGTAGCCAACAATGGTCTTATTTAATAACTGCTTTAGCAAAGCAAAGTAGATATGACATTCAGCAAATTAACAATAACACAAGCTTTAAACATAAATTAATTGCTAATGCTGTAATAACTCGTAGTGTAGATCCAATACCTGTAGGTGCTTTAAACATTTTGAGAGATTCTAAAGACTTTGTTTCATGGGTTCCTAAGAATGAACAGTTCAGGCACTTTCACACATGTAGAGAATTTCTAAATTATCAAAAATATATTTGTTTGTTGTATAATAGTAATAAAATTGTTCTTCCCTTAAATACAATTGTTGAGGATGCTTGGAAGGCATTTACTCATGGAGCTTATTTACACCACTATAATAAATATAATATTGATGAAGATTGGTTTTTAAATGCTTTTCAAGCTATAGAAACTATTTTAAATAATTATAACAGTATATGAAATTAGAGTAAAGAATTTGATCTTGTTGATTTTTTGGTATATACTTGTGAAAATATATTAATTTTTATTTATAATGGCGTTATATTTTATTTATTACCCAAAAAATAATTTGATATGTATTTCTAGTGAGTGATATTCAGAGTTGGACTTACGAAGAAAAGAAATCGTTTTTAATAGCTCTTAGAGCATATGGTGATTCTGATCTTTTCAAATTACAATCTATACTACCAAATAAAGGAATTACAGAAATTAGAAAGATCATTGATCATTACAAAAATAAAGCGCAACTTAAATGGCTGAATGATGAAAATAGAAAAAATGATGAAATAAGGAACTGGCTAGATATTTTAGAGAAAATAAACTCCAAACAAGTTGGACCGATACATGACATTATTCCAAGAGTTTTGAAATATATTGCTTTATTTGAAAATAAGTCAAAGAATAGTGATATAAAAATGAGGTAAGTATTTATATTCAAAAAGGTTGGGAGTGATTATTATCAATGACAAAGACAAACGGGACTATAAAACAAAAAATGTGTTTATTATTGAAGCTTTTGTTATATTAGGACAAGAAATAAAGTTTTTGGTATTGTATAGAACGCCATTTAGGTTAATGGTATACATATATTCGCGGTTTTATATTTCTTATGGCATTTTCCACAGTAAATTCTGATCAAAGCCACCTAATGATTTTTCTCTCCTATTTTAACTGTTAAAAGGGCCATGTTTATGAAATAATACTACAGATTGATATCTACGAAATACGAAACCATTCCAAAATACTTTGAATTCAAAAAATGTTCATTTTTTAACTCTCTCGGATGTATTTTAGGAAAATATTTTTACTTCTATAGGGTGGTTCAAAAAAGTGTGAGTGGATCGGGATAATTTTTTTTCAATGGAACACCGTATATTATTGCATTTTTGGCTTCCTTTCAAACCATTTTAGATATGAGTAAATATATTTCGATAGTTTCAGAGATATTAATAAATAAATAAAAAATATATATTTTTTAGCTTTTCTTTAAAAAAAATATTAAAAATACAAGAATTGTCCTGAAATCAAAACTATATTTAGGTTTTTACTTAGGTCTGTTCTTATTTTGCTATAAATATGGAAATCTTAAATCATACAAGATGTTCAAAATTTTTCGTGAAACTTTCTAAAATATAAAATAATTTTTCTTTTTTTTTTTTAAATGGTTTGGTTTGGTTGTAAGAATATATAACTGTTTCGCAGATAATCGCGGTTTTATATTTCATATAGCATTTTCCACAGTAAATTTTTATCAAAGCCACCCAATAATTCTTCTCTCGTATTTTATCATTGAAAGCGCCTTATGAAATAATAGTGCGTGTATCTGCGAAACCATTAAAATTTTTGAAATACATTAAAAACAAAAAATGTTCATTTTTTAACTCTCCATATAAAAAGATAATATACAGGGTGTTCCATTTAAAAAAAAACAAAGAAAATTTCGTCCTATTGCTGCCAAAAGTCACTAACATTTTTCTGAACAACCAAATTCAGTCACTAACTATGTTTTGAAGCGGAGACTGCCAGAGTCATTAACTACGATTTCTGGCTATTTATGTTTTATTTTAATATCGAATAGTTACTAACTATAACATCTTTATGCAATGCAATTCATCTTTAGACGCATTTTTCTCGGAAGTAATAAAAAGTAAGTTAGTGACTTTTGGCAGCAATGGGATGATTTATTTTATATTTTAGAAAGTTTGGCGTAGAATTCTGAACATCCTGTATGATTTACGATTACCATATTTATAGCAAAGTAAGAACAGACCAACTAAAGTAAATACCTAATACAGTTTTGATTTCAGACCAGTTCTTGTATTTTTAGTATTTTTTTAAAGGGGTTGAAATAATGTATTTTTTTTTTATTTATTTATTAAATTCTCTGTAACTATCGAAATGTATTTACTCATATCTTAGGATTATGTAAAGGGCTCTGAAAGGAAGCCAAAAATGCAATAATAAACAGGGTGTTCAATTAAAAAAAAACCACCTAGATCCACTCACACTTTTGTGAGCCACCTTGTATAAGTTAAAATATTTTTCTGAAATACATCCTGGGTACATACTTTAGGTTTGTACTTAAATACATTTCTTGAGTTTTTTACTCTGGGAGCTACACATGCCCGACGCACTCTTGCCGGAACCTGTATATTCTAATATGTTCTAACTAAAATCTTCTTCTAGCCATGTTCCCAATGATATGAATATACTTAATGTATAATGTTAACGTACTAATTTTCTGAAAGAGTATTTATATTTACTTCTCAGATTTGGGATTCCCATTAATTTTAACTTGCATTATTTCAGCGATATGTACAGTACGTCTGCTGGATCTGTGTCTATGAAAGGAATGCGGACAAAAAACATTTAAATAAACAGCAATATATTTTATACTTCGACTTGACGAGTACGTCACCGCAAATCGCTCCGCCCACTCATTTTATTGGCTACTTGCAAATTTGTCGAATTTTTATTGATGGGACGCGTCGTTTAATTTTTTACGAGAAACATCGAGAGAATATCGTTTCCCCTCTCACGGATACCCCGTAGCTACAGAACGGACAGACGTACTGTAATTATATTAATACTAGTTGAAGCCTGGCGCATCCACCACGACATCAGAAAAAAATACTTTTTATTTTTTTTTAATTAAATGAAAAACAAAAAATCCGGCGACGACAGTTTTTAGAAGAGTAAATTAGCTATCTTTTAGTAAAAAAAGCAACTTCCTAGAGCAAGTCGTTACTTCAGTAGAGACGACACAGATAAACATTAGCATTTTATATATGTAGATGTATTAAAATAAATAAAAATAATATGTGAACTGATGATTTTGAACATTCATTTCAGAGAAGTATATTTGTATTTATCTGAAATCAGTAAAATAGGTTATGGTAGTAAACCAAAGGAACTACCTGAAAGAGCCCGATATTTGGTATATAAGTGCTTACATCAGTTGGCACAGAATTTACAAAATCAAGATATAGAAGAGACAAAGTTATTCTTAAAAGGGTTAGAAAAGTTTGATGATTTGGTTCAATTTAGGGTAAGTAGATATATACCGTATGATCGAAAAAAACGGCGTCCAGTTGGCTTGGATATAATTTTACATATAAAATGGTAGCGATCATTTTATAGCCATCGCTGACGCCGTTTTTTTTTCGATCATGTTTTACTAGAGGTGGGCAAAGATTGAACGAGTATTAAAAATGAATCGTGAGATTCGATTCCTATTATTCGATTTTTCTACACCTTACATCACTAATTAAAAGTAATATTTTTTTTTAGAAAGAGGCTTCTGTAAATTCACTCCATGTACCTGATTATCTTTTACAAGTAAATAAAAGTGACTTTGTTGAAGACAATTAAGAAATAATTGTTTCTTGTATGATTAAGATATGATTATGATGATGTATGAGAAAAGGAAAACAAATAAAAACTTGATGATTTGATTTGAGATGCTATTTTATTTTTTGGAATGTTACAGATTTTATTTAACACAAACCTACTTGTAGAACATGAAACATACCTACAGATAACTTAAAAAATCATAATACAAAATATATTGGCATATTAATGCTGTTACACTGTTAGAGCCAGAGACGACTATTTTTCAATAGATAGAAATTGTTTTTATGAAACTTAATTATTGACTAGAATTTTTTTAATCACATTTCTTTTTCTATAAAAAATGGACAAGGCTGTAGTAACAGTTTAGGAGACTTTAGGATATTTTTTCACGGGGACTGCTTAAAAAGCACATCATGTTATGCTAAGGTCAAATTCATACCATTATTGCAGTCAAAAATTGACACTAATGTTATTACAAAGTTAATAATGTTCTGGATGACGTAGACACTAGATGAAAAATAATGATTTTTGAAATATTAAAAAAACTTTTGCGGCACTATAACATACAGACCTGGTCATTATAAATTAGTGGTCTAGATAGTCCACCTTTGTTTATGTCTCTGTCAATCAGTTGGTATATATCGTAAGTTAGATATTTATATTTATTAGTACCTAGTTAAAATACAGTCTAGCGATTTAGAATGGCCAAACTGGTATACTGTGTGGTAGAAAACTATGTAGCAGTAGGTATAGAAATAATAGCTTGTGTTTTACTATATCTATTACTGACGTCATTGATAGTAACAGCTAAATTGTAACTGACTTGATTAAATCTTAAAACTATAATAGAGGTGATTCAGTGTTAAGTATTTTATACCAAGTGAGACCAAAAAGAGATTTTGACTATAAATTTTTGTAGGCAATAGTAGTGCACATTTTAAAAACAAGAGATATGTGTTATCCATATATATTTTAAACTAAAGTCGTAGATTTTTAAATAATTTGTCTGTCCTATTTTGCTTTGTTATTTCGCATTCCAAAAATAATATATATGTTATCTCTCCCGAGTGTTTTCTGAAATATAACCATTTTTAAAATAAAGTTTCAACACATTGAAAACTTATTCAAAGACAAACTAAAATAGTCTAAATTACTTGGTCCCTCCTGTTTGGACACACCCTGTAGTGTATATCATAAATCAATACGGGACTTATGCAGCTTTATTCAGTTGTTAAACACATCTTAGACCTACAATCGAAATTATAGAAAATTTATTGAAGAAACAAACATACCTTCATCATAAAATTAAAAAACTTGAATTAGTTTAAAAATATATCTGAATCTCTCATTATAACAAAGTGTTTATTTTTAGAATGGCAAAGATATCGATATTTTCTATAATAACCGCAGATGTGACCCTAGCATAATGCAAACTAATACATTGAAGTTAAAATGATATAAAAATATCAAAAGTGTCATTAAAGTCTCATTAACTATACTATATATTCTACAATTATTCATTTGGTAACTACATCAAAGCTTGTGAAGCTTTATCATTCCAAATTCAATTTGACACATTCAAGAAGAAGTCCTAAAAAAATTATATTTAATTTTTGGCCTTTTAATACTTGGAATAACAAAGCATCCCTTAGAGTAACAAATATATTAAAATGAAAAAAGTTTAAATGACTGAACAACACTATGTTAAAGAATAAAAATAAATTTACATATACAATTTATATTATGTTTAATCAATAAATAAACGTTAGCTACATCAATAAATATGATTAATGACTGAATTAATGGAGATTAAAAAAATATACAATATAATAAATGGTTTTTCAACACAAAAGATTATTAAGAATTAAATGAAAAATAAGATAGACCATGCATTTCCTCAAAAGCAATTTTCATTCGGAAAATGAAATGACAGATAGGTGCGCACAAACCTTAATAAATATATTATAAATAATCTGAATTATTTACACTCTTATACTAAACAATTCTGTACAATTATTTGGTAAAAAAATGTTGGATTTAAAAACAATGATGACAACCTTTCAATATAAAGTCCATGTCCAACAATACTGGCTTTCATATAACAAACTGAAAACAGGAACAAACAAATCCAAACAATTTAAATATTAACTCATTTGGAAGAAAACAGTATAAAAAATAACGATTTTACAAAAAATGACCATAAGTTTAAAGTACCTGCTCTTAAGTACTAATGTATGCCATTCTTTGACTTGAAGCAGCTATTTTCTAGAGACAGAGAAATTTCAACTTCATAAAATACTATTTTTTATAAAGAAAAAATAGCCAGTTAAATATTTAAATTCAGAGCTCAAAAACATCTAGCATGTTGACTATTTTACTCAATGCCAAACGTGTTGGTTTCTTCAACTGCTAACAATAACTTCTCATATAAAACTTCAAACGTTGGATACGATGGCAAATCTAATCTGTTAAAACAAGTGTGGGCCCTCGGTAAACTATTCGGCTTGCCCCACTTCTCAATGCAAAACTTTCTGGAACCTATTGAACCTCTCAGAGCGGCAAATCCTTCAAAAGGTATGCTTGAGGTTCCAGTTACAAATTGTAGTAGCCTCAACCTTTGTTCATTAGTAAACCTACAAGAAAATATTAAGTCTATAAGTATTACAGTTGGGGATTGAAACCTTTGGTGTTACAACAACAAAATAAAACACTAATTCACTACAATACAGCAAAACACTTTACTTTTGCACTGGACGCGCGTTTCCAGTGCAAAAGTAAAGTGTTTTGGTGTATTGTGACGAAGTAGTGTTCTATAAGTGTTATTGTTGAAAGGAATGAAGTAAATAATAGTTTACCTCTCTATGGCTTGCCAAAACCAAACCACTACGGGATGTTGATCATGGTATCCTCCCCTATATTCTGTATTATTTCTCCAGTCTACTAGATCTATCTCGGCAGTACCGGCAATGACGAGTTCTAGTTCCCTCGCATCAAAAACACTGACTAATCTAGGATCAACCACTTCATAAAATCCTCTGACTAGTGACTCTGTCTGCTCAGCCACTCCTCTTTCTAATCTCCATCGTACTATCCTTTCCAGGTACTCCTGAAAGAAAAATAAATCTGCTTAGGAAACAACTCAAATTAGAGTTTTGTTGCATATCTACAGTATGTCCCTGGATTGTCTTTACTACAAGAGGAAAAACTTTTTTGTTATTGACATTTTAAGAAAAATTGGAGCCTCCATAAAAAAATTGCTTGTTCTAAAATGGTTAATCTCGTTTATACTTTTCCAATTTTCCATACCGTTTTAGAGAAAATTAAAGAAAACATGAAATGATTGAATTTTTCATCAAAACGCGTTCCTATGATATATTATTTCGTTTCCATTCTTTGATAGATTTTTATTGATATTATTAAAAACGCGGAATTTTAATTAATGTTATATTTTTTGCCGTTTTAAAAATGTTAAAGAAGCACAAAATTTATTCAGCTCAATGCTACGGAAAGGATGATAATATTTATCGGAAAATTGATGACGAAAACAACAGCAAAATATATGACATTAATCAAAATTAATAACAACCATCTATCATAGATAAACGAAACAAGTTTTAGATTGGAAAGTGCCCATAAGGACAATGTAAACACTATTTGGCGCTATTCTTGCAACGGTCAATTTTCTTTAAAACGGTATGGAAAATTGTAAAACAGGAAAGTATAAACGGGAATAACCATTTTAGAACAAGCAATTTTTTATGCAGGCTGCTTTATTCTCAAAATGTCAATAATAAAAAAGTTTTTCCTCTGGTAATGACAATCCGGGGACATACTGTATACTACTAAATACTCCTTGAAATTGAACACTTCAGTTATTCTCCAAGCGTCAGTTATTCTAAGCGTCTCACTTTCTCGATAGACAAACTATACCGTATCGGTTTGGTATCGGCAACACAGAGTCTTGGGTTGATACTTACATTTCTAGGAATGTATCGCCATGGCGATCTTGTAAGTTGGAGAGAGAAAAATGCGAAGTGAATTTTACAAAACTACTTAATCCGTTGCTTAATTTCATGCGCTTGGAAAAATAAATGGGCAGGATTTGCTGACCCGGTATAAACTCAAGAGTCAACTGGTTTACAAAAATAAATGATTCTGGAGCATTATTTACAGCCCTCTTTTTAAACTTGTAGTGAATGGCTGTAAAGACATTTAATTTAAATTTTCATATTATACAGGGTGTTGATAATAAAACAGAAGTACTAATATGAAGACTATGAATTTGAAAGTTCAAATTCCTAATTTGAAAGTTCAAAAAAATTGTACCTCATTGAAAGTCTAAGAATGTAATTTTTAAAAACTGAAATATCTAGTAGCATGAATCACAAACAACTTACTTTTTTGTTTTTCTCGGTGACTGGCACGTTTCTGCCACCAGGTTTTAGTTCCCTTTCCATAACTTGACCAAAGACCTCTTCAGTAACGGCAAAAGTCAGTTCCAACTCTCCCTGTACTGAAACGTCATGCTCTTTGATCCACTGAAGGGACTGGTGAAACTCAAAATCAAGACTTTCCAAATCGGACAGTGCTACTGGAAGTCGAAGGAGGGCCTTATAAAATGGACGGGTAAAGAAAGCGTCTAAGAGGTACTGGTGCACTAGAGCTAGTCCAAGAACTCTTCCACTAAATCTAAACCTATAAAGTTAATAAATACAATTAAAAACTGGATGAAATTAATTTGCATATAGATATGCAATATGCTAGATATATGGCGATTCTGGATAATTTAATGTCAGTACCTCAGTTTATTTTTTTTTATGTATTAAACATTGAATAAAAAGACTAAAGTCAGATACTATTTTTTTCAGGAGTCAGATACTATTTTTTTAAATACTCCTACATTATACCGTATGATCGAATAAAAATGGCGTCAGCGATGGCTATGAAATGAAGATCGCTGTCATTTTATATGTAAAATTATATGGGAAATGTCATAGATCGTCATTTCCAAGCCAACTGGACGCCGTTTTTTTTTCGATCATACGGTACTATTCAGTGATATTTTTGCGAATATTAAAAAGATACACTAAAAACATGAAAAATAATGGCCAGATCTTTTCACTAATAAGTAATTATAGAATATGTTTTTATACAATGTATTCACAGAAATCGTTTTTTAAAAGTTTTTAGGAATTAGTATTCAGATAAAAATATAACAATTTTTTAAGTTAAAAATAATTTGAACATTTTCATTTTAATGTAGAATTTAGATTCTATATGAATTCTAAACACATTTTGCGTATAGTGCTCTATAACTATAAAGCTTCGTTCAGAACCTCGCAATTAGTGGTTTCAATTACACTTTATACTTTTTAGTTTACGATCATTTCACAATGTCTAAAAAACACAATTCAAATTAATAGAATATCCTAGCAACAACTTGCGTAGTCAGTTGTATTCATAGAGAAAGGCTAATATTTAGCTTATAAAACAATCAACTTTTGATTTATAACCACAATTTTTCTTAACGGATGATAATCAAGGGCAAAAATGACATTTCCCGCAAATTTTGAAGTATAATTAGTGGAAAAGTTAAAAGTTAATTTAACATTTTCTACTAACTAAAGCTTCATTCAGAACCTCCCTAGTTTAGTGACGATCATTCACAATGTCTAAAAAGATACAATTAAAATTAATAAAATATCCTAGCAATAGCTGGCGGTAGTCTGTTGTATCCATAGAGAACGCATAATATTTAGCTATACAACAATAAACTTTTGATTTCTAATAAAAAAATTTCTTGACGGGTGATAATCAAAGGGCAAAATGACATTCCTCGCAAATTTTTAAATATAATTAGTGGAAAAGTTAAAAGTTAACTTGTTTAAAGGTTTTTGAAATATTTTCAACTTTATTTGACTAAAATGATATTTGCAGAGCAGTGACATTTCGAGATAGATGCATTTTTTATTTATTTGTATTGCCTTTCTTTTAAAAAAAAGGTCTTTTTTTTAAATTTTCTTAAATTTAAAAAAAATAAAACGCTCTGAAAAATCTGAATCTCTTTCAGTCATATTGAAACCTCTTCGTCTCGCCAATTTTGTTCATATGTATATTTCTTCCTTAGTAGTTTTATTCAATGGTTTAACATACTTATTTTTTAATTATGAATATATGTAGTAATTAAAGATGCTTACCAATCGTGATAGTTATCTACAAATGCAGACATTGGCGAAATTTGCACAGTATACGTGTCATTGGCAGAATATTCGAATAAACCATAATATGGATTGAACAGTTCTCTAGACAGTAAGAAGAAGAATTCTCTGGAGGGACCGCCATAATCAAGACCTTCCTCGTTGTCCCAAACAATACACAATTTTCCTTTCTGAAGGTCCTTCTTATTGGCGGACATTATTCTTCGAAAAGCATCTTCTAACAGATGATCTCTTCTTATATGCAATCTAAAATGAATACAAATATTTACTTCTTTCGACAATGTTAGTAATAAGATAGTCTAGTAACATTCATGGCTATTTTTTAAATTATAAATTAGCTATCTGAAAAATAACTTACTTGAACTTTCCTGGACCTTGACCATAACCCTTACTTTCTAGTTTTCTATAAAAGTTTCTTAATTTGGCCTCGAAATCCCTTTTATGGGGTGCAGGAACACGATGTCTTCCCAAACCTGGAGAAGCAATGGGCGAAGGTTGGGGTGATCCCCTAGGACTTCTTCCGTTGCTGCCAGTGGTATTGGCAGTCCTTGACTCCATAGCCGGAACATATGACATAATCTCCTGTTCGAAGAGGCTGTAACAAAAATTAAGAATCAGTTTTGAATGCCAGACTCTAATGCAAACAATTATTTTATTCATAGTTAAATAACTTCCCAGAAATGTTAACTCTACCAAACTGAATTTGAATTTGTTGTGTGTGATTGAATAAAAGCTTCATCACAGGAGTCTGAGAAATAATGTTTATGTGTGCAAAAATTGGAAACGAATTAATAAGTTAATTAGAATTAATTCTAATTCAACCAATTACAAATATGTAATAATACATTCCAAGTAATTAGAGAATTGCATTGCTAACATTTACAATGGCTAACGTTTCCGTAATTTTTTAAAATTAATTAACATAACTTAAATAGACATAAACTGTACCAGACAGACATTTATCCTGCACTTTAAAACATTTACAATATTATCACATAAATGATAATTCCAAATTTGAAATTTGGCTTTATCTAATGACAGTTTATCAGTATGTCACAGAGCAAGCAAATAGACGTATTTCTTAAAAAAATATTAAAGCTGTTTTAAGTGCATTAAATATATTTTTGTTGGTTAAGCAATAAAAATCTGAACATATTTTTTTACAAGTGTTATATTATTTCTATACCGGGTGTTTCTCAAAAGTGGCTCACCCCTATAACTTTTTTATATATTTTTTAGATAAAAAACAGTATTTGGTACGTTAGTATAATATGACATAAATCAGGATTGATTGACGTATTCAACTGTTTCCGGTCATTTCCTGTTTCACCGGAAATGACCACAACTTTTGGTTTTTAAATGACTTGGTTTTATTGACTTTTACTTTATTCCATAGAAAATGACACTCTGAATAGAATGACATATCATATGTCAACTTTTGACATTTTTGCATACGGTTTATTTTATTTATGCAGTTCATAACGACAATTTGACTCAAAATACCAAGTGTGTGGTACCAAATAATTCGTAAAAAACATTTTTTTCCAAATATGCTAATTAGCCACCACTGTTACATTTGAAAAAATTAAGATAAGATTAAAAATACGATTTGGGCATCTTTTAACCGGCCAGAACAAGACACGAAAAACATTAGACGATCAAATCTATTTTTCCAAGGCTTCTTGATTATGATATGAAAAATTAGTGTTTTTAACACAGCCATTGCAATCCAGATTGAAATTTAAAATACGATTTTTCAAGCAAAAATGTCAAAAGTTGACGTATGATATGTTTTCGGATATGTCACTCTATTCAGTGTCATTTTCTCTATCGTATAAAGTAAAAAAAAATACCGAGGGTGATATTTTAAGATCAAAAGTGTCATTTCCGGTGAAATAGGAAGTGACCGAAAACAATTGAATACTTCAATCAATCGTAATTTATGTCATTCATATACTAACATACTCTCGTTTTTATCTCAAAAAATAAAAAAGTTATAGGGGTGAGCCACTTTTGAGAAACACCCGGTATATTTTAATATACTATTATGAGATACAATAGGGGGGGGGGGGGGGAACAATATACAGGATCAGTACGGAAACCAAAATCAGGATGGTATTTATTATTTAAAGGGATCTTATAGTTTCGAAAATGTAAAGAAAGAATAACACTTATTTTAAGAGCAATATTAGAAAATCTAAACTGATAAATAAGACCAGGCATTTTAAGTAGTCATAGAAAATTTAATGACTTTAAAACGATTTTTACCTACTACAATATCACCATAATGGAAACCACTTAAAAAATTAGTTTTAAAGCTCTGCTAATCATCCCAAACATTATCATTTATTTATCCTGTCTAAATTAAAATGCCCTTTTTAGGTAGCTCAAACAGAATGGATTTTTTTCTTAGCTTTAAAGCGACAACTAAAAAAACCACTTGACGAGTTGAAGTTAATTTTCTCATGCGATAATTAAATTCATAAATGAGTAATTTACACACCATTAACTTTGATTCTGTTGCGCAAAGTTAGCCAGCCTACAAATCTATGTTTAGAGTTTTCTTATGTCCGAAGGAAACGAGTGTGTGGGGAAATAGTAACTTTAATTATCAGCGTAAATATTATTAGTAATGTTAATTGTCAATTTGCCTAATAAGTATGTTCAATGCAATAAGAATTCCATTATGTAATCTATAACTGATTAGTATTCCTAAGTTTGTTATTGAAACTTTTATAATAAATGGCAGGTATTTTGTTAGACAGACAAAACTCAATCAAGCGGTGATTTGCATGGGATTAAAATGAAGTAATCAATTTTATCATAAATGTAACCGTAGAACGAATGTTCCTTACTCTGATTTCTACTTCGTAGGAGGGTGCAAATATTTCCAGTATGTTACAGAAGAGGTTTAAGAGTCCATTTCACCAGTCCGAAAAAGTAGCAAAATAAGCGTTCGCCATTTAACGTTTTATGTAAAATTGGCTAGGTATTTTTACACAAATGAAGAAGGAAATTAGAGCTTAAGGATTATACCATGTCGGTAGCCATTGTAGCAGTTTTTATCAGTCAAACATCAACAAAATATATCTTATGTTTGGACTAAATTTTCTCGAAAATAAAGAAATAATTCAAAATTCCGTTATAATAACGACAAAGATTGAATAATATGAACTTTAGAATTCCCCACGAATATGGTGTTTTGGGTTTCAATTGAATCGTTTATTTTACAACATTTCCCCTTTACCTCTGGATCTGGAAATTTCCCACGAATCGGAAAATTTCCCACGAGTTGGTATCACTGATATTCTATGTGTTTTGGATTCTATAGTTTATCCTACGAGAGATTCCATGACAGTGACAGTCTTTTATTCAATTCGTTGGACTATACCTGAACTATGCCACAGACCTAATTATAAAAGTTAGTCTATGTAGCAGGTATTGATAATTTCGATTCCAAATATTTCGAAAATTACTCGTAGCGATTTTAACGTAAAAAATGTCGTAAATGTATATTTTTTTACTCAGTAGTTTTATACAGGTATGGACAAAAAGTTATTACTCTTCAAACTAGTTAAAAAATATGTAGGTGGCGCCCTCTACTAGTAGGAGTCATATTGACATAAATATCACATTTCTCATGTTAAAAGCTACCCAGACACCAATTTTCATCCAAATATTGACGTTACTTCAGAAATTATTTGGAAAAAATAAAAACTTCTACACCCTGTATCTCCGAAACTAAGCATTTTAGGACATATATTTATACGAACTTTTTTACTTATTTTATCTGCAGAATATTCTGCCGAAGTTTCCGGAATACAGTTCGGACCACCCTGTATATTCTAAAATTACTGATTAAAAACCTTCTACATTTTGCCAGATTTTGCCTTGTGGCAGGAAGTGTCGGGAGGTAATAAGACATCGAAGCGGGAGAGTTTGCAATGTGTTACTTACGGCAACTAGTTCTGAAAATACATCGAGAAATTGTGAAATCGAAACTGAGTAATTATGTTCCCGAATAAAATAGGACGCAGATGTAACCAAGTTTTAGATATGAAACTTTCTTTAAATAATACTGGAATAATAACGATTGCGAATGTAGGTTGCTCCAAAAATTTATGGCGTTAAATTTATATTTCAAACCTAAATATTATTTTGTACGTTCAGCTCGACATTTATAAAGAGTTCCAGTTGCATAAATATTTTCATTAATACAACAATTATTAATTTAGAACAAATGATCTAAAAAAATACGAAAGAGTAAATTTAGAGTTTAGACAATTCTAGGATTTTTTTTGGAGAATGAAATGATTAGGATATCCAATTTTCGGGACCTGGCTCACTTTTTGAAATCCCGGGATAAGAAATAAGAACCAATAATTCCCGAATTGACTATCAGAATGAGAAATTTAATCTAAAGAAATACTTAATATAATGGAACACCCTATACAGGGTGTCCCAGAAATAAGTACAAGTATTTTAAGGGGTGGTAGATCTGGTCAAAAGAAACATTTTTTCTCTTTACCAGTTTTCAAAGAAGTCCAAAATAACCGAGTTATTTTGCTTTGAAAATTTCCAAAAAAAAAATGAGTTTTTGCTAAAATTTTGACTACCATGTTGCCATATTATCAAGAAGTTATGATTTTTAACTTAAACCTAAAAAAAATCCAATTTTTTTTAAATTCCAAATTTTCAAAAAAAATTTTCGCAAAAAATACCTCATAGGCGTGTTTCTGAGGCCGCAATATACTACCAGTTAAAATACTTGCACTTATTTCTGGGACACCCTGTATATTAAATGATTTTTGGATTCTAGGAAAAAAATTAAGTTGAGTTTCATTAAAGAAGCATACACATTTTGTGAAAATGAAGAATACATTTTAAATTTCAATAACAGCTACCTAAATAATTGTAATTTATCCTGTATAGCCCGATATTTAGTTAAAATAACCATTGTATGTTCAACCAAATTAAAATTAATATTGAACATTGGTCACTTTTAAAAGCCAGTTACTCCTTTATTTTAAACGGAACACCCAAAACATCTTCAAAATACTATTAGGGTGCGTTTATGTTGGAGCGGTGATAAACGATAAGAGCAGCGATAGCAGCGAAGCAAAGAATATTATTATATTAATTTATATGTAGGTGTTTATATTGGAGCAACGCGTCGAGACACGGTTGGCAGTAGAGCAACGATAAGAGCAGCGCTAATTCACTGCTTTTATCGTTTATCGCAGCTCCAACATAAACGTACCCTTAGGATTGCTTACTCCTCAAACAATGATTCCCAATACCGAAAGTACCGGGGTTTCCCGGTTCTGAACCTTAATTCACATGTTAATGACAAACTAAAAAAGTAAAATAAAGTTGCAAATAATTCTATTACTCAGCCATTAATATGATTCAATAATAGAAAATTCTCATATAGAGATCTAAAATTAAATAAATATTTAGAGCATTGAGACCAACGGAATCGTGTAAATTTAAAAATAATCTGGAAAACGAAGAATTACGGTACTCTGTTGCAATCGAGTAAAAGCAGAGAAATTTATAATTAGATATTTTACGGCGATCGGTACCTGGAATATC